TCCTTTCCTTCCTATTTCCTTTATATTGAAAGGATCTGTCCAGAACCAAAATGATGCAAAGAAATATTTATCTGAGTTCAGCTGTTCAACTTCACTCATTCTTTTTATTCTCTCAAATTTAAGTAAAATTAGGCTGGGCACAGTGGCTCAAACTTGTAATCCCAGCACTTTGGGAGGCCAAGGTGGGTGGATCACCTGAGGTCAGGAGATCAAGACCAGCCTGGGCAACATAGTAAAACCCCATCTCTACTAAATAAAAATTAACAAAATACAAAAAGTAGCCAGGCGTGGCAGTGTGCAACTGTAATCCCAAGAGGCTGAGGCAGGATAATCCTTGAACCCAGGAAGTAGAGGTTGCAGTGAATGGAGATCACGGCCACTGTACTCCAGTCTGGGTGACAGAGCAAGACTCCGTCTCAAAAACAACAAAACAAAACAAAACAAAACAAAACATTAAGTAAAATTACATTTACTATTATACACTTACAAAATTACATTGATCTAGGCATCCATCAACCCATCCATTTATGGTTCTATATGTATATGTGCTTAGCAAGATGTCTCAAATGACACTCACCTAATATTAATTGTGAGGTTCACCTAATGGTAATGACCTGATGGAAGGAGTTTTGTCTTTAGCTTTCTTCTTTGCATACATCTGAGTTATAAAGTCCAGTGTTGTGAAGTAAAAGATATCTCCCCAAAATTCATATGCTGAAGCCCTAATGTAGCTATGTTTTTTAAAATAAAGTCTTAAATAAGGTAATTAAGGATAAATGAGGTCATAAGAATGGGGCCCTAATCCAATGTGAATGGTTTCCTCATAAAAAGAGGAAGAGACACTTGAGAATTCTCTCTTTCCTGTGTACACAAAGAGCCCAATGTGTGAACACAATAAGCAAGTGGTCACCTACAAGCCAGGAAGAGAGACCTCACCACAAACCAACCCTGACAGTACCTTCCCTTCGTCTTGGAGTTCTAGCTTCTACATTGTGAAACTTTTGTTTAAGCCACCCAGTCTGTGGTATTTTGTTATGGCAACCCAAGCAGACTAATACATACAGTATTGTTGGGGGGAGAGAGAGAGAAAGAAACACACAGAGAAAAACAGAGAGAGACAAGAATCACTTTGTAACATATATCAATAGTTCTTATACATCATAAAAAGAGAAGTGAAGTTATCAAATCTAACTTTGTGACCCCATAGTGGCTCATGGTAATCAACGCTTCCTTTTCAAGATGCCTCAAACCTCTGGTTCTATTAGTGGGGCTTAATAGGTATATTAAAAAAAAAAAAAAAGTTGAACACAATGAAGGAGACTGGGATCAGAAAATACATCAGTGAGTTGTTGCAAGATTAAGATCATTAAGAGGCAAGGAATCATGACTTTAATGAAATGGTCAATAGAAGGCTGTCATACTTTTGCAAATAAATAAGAGGCAAAAAACAATAATAGAATGGGAGACACACTCCATAACAAATGTAAAGCCTACAGACAATCACAGATAAGAAAGGGAAGAATAAAAAGAACACAGAAAGTAAAAACAAAAACAAGCAGAACTTTTTCTTTTTCCTAGTATATTTATATCCATTCAATAAGTATGAACTGAGAAGGTTCTATATAAAATATATGCAAGATAGAAGAGATAAAAAGAAGAATTAAACACATCGAGTGGCTCACAGGGCACAGACAGATATAAACAACACTAACAAAATCATTTGATAAGTGTTAATAAAAGGACACCTAGAGCCAGGTTCAGGGGCTCACATCTGTAGTCCCAGCTGTGTGGAGGCTGAGGCAGGAGGACAGCTTCAGCCTAGGAGTTCATGTCTAACCTGGGCAACATAGCAAGACCTCGTCTCTAAAACATAAATCAATAGGCGGGATGAGGTGGTTCACACCTGTAATCCCAGCACTTTGGAAGGCTGAGGTGGGCAGATCACCTGAGATACCAGTCTGGCCAACATGGTGAAACC